AGAATTTTCTCTTGGAGACAAATATTCGTTCATTTCAACGCTAGCGTGCCAGCGTCAGCCAATACGTAAGTCAATATTTTTCAAATAAGTAATTATCATTTTCTAAATCAGAAAATGTAGAACGTAGGAAAGATGCTTTTTTTTCTTCAAAAATTGAAAGAATTGTATGTGTTTGAATTTCCACTTTATAATTTGCGCATTATAAACAAAGAAATTCTCATTGCATTAAGCTTGGAAATTATTGATCTCTTACAAAAGAAGAAATTTTTGATGATTGATTTACATAACATTAAGAATATAGAATAGGCGCTTGCGCTCTACAAGTGGTAAGTCAATTTACATGGGACATTATCTCAATTATATACACGACAAATGAAGTGAGATTCTGCGACGATATGATTGACTCCCTAATGGTAAGCACAGTTCCTTGATCGTTTTCACAATTTTGCTCATTCGCACACATTTTAGGATTCATTCAATGGTGCTTCAGCTTCTTCTACGCCCAGAGTAGCTCTGAAGCAAATCATCGATGAAGACGACAATGATTCATACACACGGACCCTGCAACAGATCAAAGCTCGCTCACGTGGTATGTTTTGCTCACAGAAAACCGTGCTCTCCTGTCCATTCGAAGTAAACATTCACCGCACCTCAATATAAGGGACGAAAGCTCTAGAGTTTCATAGCAATCGCCTTTAGTAGTCATACTATGCATGGACCTTGCAACTGATCGACGTGGCTTCCTGATAAGAGCAAACCGGATGGGGATGACAAATAGCGAATACGTATTTCTAATGCTCAATATACGTAGCACTGGCTTCGGTCAGGTTGTTTTAACGTTATTCTGTAACACTTTAGTTTGCTCCCTTATTTATAGGAAGAGCTGGAGCGGGAAAGGAGATTCGTGAGTATCTTAAGCGTTTTTGGATAAAAATAACAAGATAATGGATAATATTTTAAGTTGCAAACGGCTTTATGCCCTTTTGGGAAGACAGTGTTAACGGCAACATTGATGGCATGGACTCTGTGGCTAACTCAGCTGCAAAATATATGATTTTGGTGAGCGATCTTCAAATAGGAAAGATCGTGGATGATTTCCTCCTTTGCAGCTCGACTTGAACACCGATAACATAAACCAGACCTATTTGCAAACCTTTAAAATTGGTGTGATGAAGAGTACGAGAAAGCCCTTTTAACTGCAAGACCATAGAATTTTTGAGCAACGGCAATAAATCGGTAACTAACGATGTGTCGAGTGCTCCTCAGCGTCTATAAGGCAGCTACATGACACCTTCTACGCGTACGGCTTAGGTCTTGTACGGGAACCAACGTACTATCATGACACTGCAAACATTACGAATGCGATGACCGTAAACTCTGCAGGCAAGCATTCTACACATGTTAAACAGGAGCTAAATTAATTTATTTTGTGCACAATTTGTAATGCAATCAGAGCTTTCCATTTTAGTTCAATAGTCAGAATGATACAGCAACTGAAAATATCTTGATTCTATGAATGGGAACATACAGGATTTTCTGCATTGCTCAGATCAGCATAACGCTATACAGGCCTAACCGGACAAATAACGATGACTGCGAGTAGCACACGTGCAGCTGATTTTATTTTGTATTACCTCGATCTAATTATGAAGCAGAATGTCTACATGCAAATGACTTATCAGGACACCTCCACATTGCTAATAGGTCGCTAATAATTTGTTGGAAGCAAAAATGTAAAACATCTATGCTTTTCAATGAAACTTAATACCCAACAGAACCTCTTTGTACTTACACCACATAGGGTATCAAATTAGCTCTATTGATGTATTATTGAGTTCAGAATACATGGTTGAGCCAAGGAACGTTAAAGGTTTTTATTTCAAAAGATTCCTATTAGATTTCAAATGGTAGGGAAAGAATGCTTTAAGGTTTGAAAATCGTACTTTAATCAGTTTTCCAAACACATATAAAACACTTTCACGAAGAAAAATAGGTTACACAACATACTTTTGT